AAAAAAAAAAAAAAAAAAAAAAAAAAAAAAAGAAAGATTAGGGTCGGATAAGTAGGTTTAAGAATCATCAGCATAAAGATGACAATTGAATCCATGGAAGCTGGTGAGGTAGTATAGAGAGAAAAAAGAAAATATCCCAAGACAGAGTCCTGTGGGATTTGTGATTTAGCTGGTATAACCTGGATAAAGGTCCAGGAAAGGAGACTGAGGAGTGGTCAGACAGGAAGAGAATCAAGATAGAGTAGTGTCACAGAAACCCAGAGAGAAGAGAATATAAAGGAAAAGGTGAGGCTACAGAAAGGTCAAGAAGGATGAAGATTGAGAAAAGGCCATAAGATTTGACAAAAGATGTCTGATAACTTTGGAGACAGTAGTTGCAGTTGAATGATGAAGTCAAAAGCTAAAATGTAGGGAGTTTAAAGTGAGAGAAAAGGAAATGGAGATACCTATTACTGTCAACAGCCTTCTCATGGAGTTTAGCCACAAAAGACGAGAGATGTCAGATGATAGCTAACGGGGATGGATGGATAAGGTGATTAATTTTTTTTTGAGAGATATGGACATGTTGGTACCTGATAGACAAGGAGAGGTTGAAAATTAAGTGAGAGCCTGTAATTATATATTCCAGTATTTGGAATATTAAAAAAAAGTCTACTTGGCAACTGTGAATTTTTCTTGAGTCATGTCTGCAAACATCAATTTTCTTAACCAGTTGTGTTTACTAAGCCACCAGAACAGACATTAGTCATATTACTTCCTTATTTTTAGTTTTTCAGAAAGGAAATGTCGTTTTTAAAGTTGGCAAAAATAGGAATAGGACAATCTGTACAGAATGATAGCTTTAGATTCTTTTCATCTTTTCAATCACTTAAGTTAATCAAAATTGCTCTCCAGGATTAAAATATTCTGCATTTTTATATTTAATAAATTATATTTAATTCCATCATACCTGAAAGAAAAAATTGAATTGTTAATCAGTGGAATGCTTATCATTTTACTCCTGTTAACATATAGCAAGTAAGATAAAATATTTGCAAAATAACTTGGTATATCAGACTAAGTTTAGTCCAGCTACTGTTAACTATTTACAAGCAGTGTTTTGCCTTTCTTTATGAAACCAGGTTATTTTCTTTATGAAACTATGTCTCAAGTATTTTCATAAATGTGTATAATATCCATAAATATTTATAAAAACAATATCCAGAAGTCTCCAACTTAGAAATTGTTTGCTTTCCAAAGGTTTATTAGTCAAAGAGAGATTATTCTTTGTAGCTCTAGAACAAAGAATTAGAACCATTGAGTTGATGTTACAGGGAGGCAGATTTTCAGTATGAAATTTGCAACTCTTAACAAGTAGAGTTGTGCAGAATTGTAATAGGCTGCCAATTTAGGAAATGAGGTCCCTGTCTCTGAAAGTGTGCAAGTAGAAGTAGGGTGAAAAATTGTTAGGGATATTGTAGAGGGTGGGGCTCATGCATCAGACATGAGGTTGAATAGCATTTATTAAGTACTTACTAGCAATAGTTCAGTATTTACCAACCCAAACTATATTACAGATGGATAAAATATTTAAATTTTCTGTTGTGGACTGTTCTTTATTCTGAAACTTCAGACTGATGTTTCTCAGGGTTAAAGTAAGAACTAAGAGGTAGAGGGGAAGGAAAAACCCAAGATAACCAGGAGGAATTTTATTTAACTTTTTAGGTTTTAGGAAATAGGAATCTTTTTGTACACCAGTAAAAATTTGCCAGAGACAGTGGTTAAACAATTAGATAACCCTTCAGATTCCTTCTAATTCTCAAATTTTATGATTCGTGTTGATATTCTAGAACTCAAAACAAGTTTTTTTCTTAAGTTTTACAGTGGGATTTTTTTCTATTTTTCATTGCAAATATAGGCTATTTCTGCTATATTTTAGGTTAAGTAGGCTTTCTTGAAATAACAGGAGAAACTAACCAGCATTTACAACAATTTATATAAGAAAATTGGTTTTGAGTTCTAAACAACAGATATTGAGGGCACCACCATTCTTCCAGTCACCCAGGATCACAACCTCAATGTCATCTTCAACTCTCCACTTTGACCCCACATATCTAATCTGTTGCCACATATTACTGTTTCTACCTTCACAATAGCTCTTATTTACATCTCCTTTTCCACTTAGCCACCACCCTGGTATAGTCCCTCAACGCCTCACTCCTGTACTATTACAGTATACTTCTGGTTGGGCATGTTTCATTTCTCTCCCTTCCAATTCATCTTCCATTCTCCTTCCAAAGTGATTCCCCTGAAGGGCAAGTCTGATCATATCACCCCAACACCTTCATTCAATAAATTCCAATGGCTTCCCATTAACTCCAGGATCAATTATAAAATCCTCTTGTCTTTTAAAGCTTTTCAGAGTCTAGCCCCTTCCTACTTTTCCAAATCCCATAGACTCCATGTCTTTTCCCCATGCCTAGAATGCTCTCCTTTCTTACCTCTAGTTCCTTAAACTCAGCTCAAATCCCACTTTGTGCAGCAAGCCCACTAATGCCTTCCCTGTAAGATTGTCTTCCACTTAAACTATATCTTACGTGTATGATTTTTTGCACGTTATCTCACCCATTAGAGTTCAAACTTCTTGAGAGCAGAAACTGTGTTTTGTCTTTCATTGTATCCTCAGTGCTTAGCTTAATGTCTGGCACAGAGTAAGCAATAAATGCTTATTGACAAGCTTACTTCTTAGGCTCATTAGCTATGCTGTTTTAAAAACTCACAACTAGTCTAAAATAGACTTCTAATAGGAAAAAATAGGAAGAGATTTATCTGAAGGAACTGCAAAATATGGAAGGAAATAGAGAATTCAGTTCAAAAGATTATATATTAGGCCTTTTCCTGTTCTAATCTCTATGGTTATATTAAGTACCTATTATGTGCATAACTCTTCACTAAGCATAAGATACAAAGATTTACAAAACATGCCCCACCTTCCACCACCATCCCTGCCATCATGGAGCTTACAGTCCAGTAGAAAGAACAGGACATTAACATATGGAAGCAGGAAATTAAAGAGGAAATATATGGGGATGTATAGGCGAGAAAGCTCTGAGCTGTGATTGAAGAAAAGTGGAGAAATATATCTAGTCAGGGGGATTAAGGGGATGGTAGGGGAAAGTCCATTCCCATTCTTCATCTTTGCTAGCAAATGACATTATTGAACTCAGACAGCCAGATGAGGCCTCTAAGCAGACAGGAAGTATAAGCACTGTATGTATGCAATCAGTTGTTCATATGTTTAGGACATTAGTAAGACAGGTTTTCATAAGCACTTGGCCTCCCCCCCACCCCCTAATCAATCTTCCCTCACAGCTGAGGCTAAGAAGTGAAATGACACACACACAGAAAGTAAGTGAAGAGCCAGGATTGGAATTTTCTAACTCTTAAGTTCAGCACCCTCCATAGTCCCACATTGCTTCACTATTTACCATCTCATTACAGATAAAATCTTGGAAATGCCGGTTATGAATGTAAATGCACCCCAAAGCACTCTTTTTTTCCCCCATCTGAATTCCAGGTTATGGTTATCCGGAAATGACTAACCTTTTCCTTCCTAAAGTAGTTCTGCTTTTCTCTTGATTTTTCATTTTCAACTAGAGCTTCCTGCCCAGCACCCAGTCCCCAAATGGCAAGGAAGTTGGGGAGGGCAAAACTTCAGAGGAAAGAAAGCTTAGAATTTAATATTTCTCTGTTGCAAATGTAAATATATTCATTCCTGATTAATGGAAAAACTAAAAACATTATCCGTGCTCCTAACATTTTTGTGAAAAAGAACTTTATAACTTCAGAAAACAGTAACTATTTGTATGTGTTTTATATGCAGTATTCTTCCTAAGTCAAAGAATGAGACAATCTGAACTGCATTATTTATTCTTTATATATATGTATGTATTTAAATGATTCATTGCTTCTTGCTATGGTTGTAAAAAACAGTTCTGTTTACTTTGTGTTGATATAATAACAGATGGCAAAGGTGTAGTTTCAAATTTTCATTATACTAAATATTTTATCTGGCATTTGGCTTTCATTATATACATTTTTGTTACAATGAAATAAAATTATGGAATCATATTTTTTTTTTTACCTGGAAGGGACTTTCAAGATGATTTCATTTAGCCTGCTTGATGAAACTGACCAAAAGTCACAGAGCCTGTGAGAGGCAGAGTCAGCACCATGAATTTTAGAAACAATTTTATATCTGAAAAGGACTTTAGAAATCATGTATTGAGACCCGGAGAAAACTTGTACAGGGTCACACAGGTAGTGGCAAAACCAGATTTAGATTCCAACTCTCCTGAAGGCAGTGATCTTCATACTATACCATGCTGCCTTTCTATAGTGAGATTTTTCTTTCTCCTTTGACTCTTATACTATCCAATGTCTGTGCCACTGTCGCTTTAAGTACTTCATATTTGTTAATATTTCTAGAACTTTTATAACTGTCCCATTCTACCTTCAGTGGCTCCTTGGTATCTAGTAAATACAAAGTCAATACTCTTGATTTTTGTATGCAACAATCTACAAAATGACTCTGCAATATGATTCTAGCCTACTTTTTCAACCTTACCTGAAGCTGCTTCCTTTTATATAAAACATTCCATACCTTTGCTCTTATTCTTCCCTGTTCCTCCACAATGCCCTCATATCCCTCCCTCTTCTCCTCTACCCAATGTCTGCCTCATTACTTCATAGCTATGTTTAAGATCCATTTCAAATACATTTCCTCTGTAAGTCTTCCCTTAACTTTTGCAGCCAGAAGCAATCTTTCGTCTGATCTCACAATATTTTGTATTCTCACACACTTGGCATAACTTTAATTTGTATTTTGTTTTGCTGGGTACATATCACCCCTACACAGTCCCTTGAAGGCTAATGGCATATCTTTGTATTTGTCACTGTTTATTGCACATTGTAGGTGCTTACTTTTTATTGAATGACTGATGTATCTTGGTCTTCTAAAATTTAATTATGGTTTTCTTCTAGGTTAGTTCCTGGTCATCTCCATTAAACTTGAAGATTTCAGAGTGCATTTGGGATACATCTTTTCCCCAGAAAACTGTAATGCCAAGGAATAGATGCACACCACTGATGACAATACGAATGCTCTAGCTTTCTATTCAACTTTTTGGTTAAGGCTCCAAGTTCAATGAAAAGCAAAAGTTCTTTCTAATTTCTCATGAAGCCACACTGTTGCTTATTCACTTTGGTGGTGAATGCCATTATTCCTGCTGCATTTTTACTGGATGATATAGAATACAATGGAACGATAGCAGTAGAAACAAATCATACTACTTACAATGTCTCCTTTCACCCAAACTTTGAAATCTCTTCTAATTCCCACACAAGTGGTGATTTCGTCATAGCCAAAGAGGGAACCAGTGTTTTGATTGAATGTCTTCTCACTACTAGCCATTATGAAGACATTCTTTGGTATAATTCCAAATGGCTGTTGCTTGATCAGGAAGGAGGAGGTAAGCAGTGCTCAACTTTGATCTGTTTTACTGTATTCACCTTCAGGTACCTATTATGAAGCAGCATATGGAAAATACATAGGTAAAACCTAAGGAGCATTTGAAACAATTGTAAAACCTTGAAAAGCAGGGGGGGAAAAGTAAAGTCTTAAACTTGGAAAATAGGTACCCAGCATATACATTCTCTTCATCCCAGCAAAAATGTGCAAGGTTAATAATATTCCTTATGGAAGATTGTTTATTGCCAGACATGCTTCCTTCTGGGCAAAATCCCTTTAGTAAATCACAAATTGGATAGCAGAAATAATAATAAAAATTATTTTGTTCTGTTAATAGGCTTCATATTGCCTTAGGATTGGTAGCTTGAGTGTTAGTAACCCCACGAATATCCTGGGAAGAGAAATACACATACCAAAGTTTACTGTGGTTCACTAAACTAGCATGGGAAACAGGGATGCCTGGCCCTTAGGTAAAATAATTATGGACCTGGTACTAGAAGTTATCCTCCTCTTCTACATGACTTTCCTCTATATTCCATGCTATACAATGAGCTCTTGAAGCATATATTTGAACAGTTTGCATTCCCTCTTTGAATTCCGCAACCATAGCATGAATGTTATGCACCTCATGCAAGAAACATTTGTCTAAGAGAAAGACATCATAATCATTTACAATGAAGAAAAAGCTAGAGAATAAAAAGGAAGTGACCGATTATTTTATATTGAAGATAGACTAAAAAGAAACGTGGCAAGAAGGAGCTAGGTTAAACATAAATGAAAATGTCATAAGTTATACATAAAGTATTTAAATAGCATTGAAATGGTCTGCCTAAGGAGATTATTTAACTGGCTTCCCTGGAGAGTTTTAAGATAATCATTTCTGTACCTACCTGGAGGCAAGAAGATGGCCAAGAATACCCCTAGGCTGCCCTAAAATTCTATAATACTTTTGCCAACTTGACAATAGATACTCTCCTTGCTTTTTTGTCTTTTCCCTTGATCTTTAAAAACTACACAAAAATAGTGTTAATGAAATAGATTGTTTCTTTTTAGTGAATTTTGCTGAACTTACTGTAGTTTAATGAAACCACCATTTTAATGTAGACCATTGTCACTTGGGTCTCTGTTCAAGAAAGGATAGCAAGAACTTAAGCTGTTGTACCTCCGAAAATAAACATGTCAATCCTGGGATATAAAGGTTAAATTCTGAACTCCTAAGCAAAAT